GGCCTGCAGTCTGAAATTGAAAATCAGTGGCAGTGAGAAACGCCGAACAGTCACTAGGTCAAAGACAATTTACGAATGAAAAGTTGCAACACTGTAATCGAGTTACGTTCTTTCGACCGGGGACGACGTGTTATAAAGTTTGAATGAAAGCACCACTTGAGGTGCGAACTGGCGACCACGACTACCCGCGCTCGCGCTGCAAGGTCTGGACTGCCGTGCTAAGGATAAACGCCGTACGAGCATACGAATGTTGCCAAATTGCCTCTCAGAAAATATTTATTTTTTAAGAACTTTATGAATATTTTTCTTCGAAATTTTCAGACACTTTAGATCAATTTACAAACAAAATTCTCTTTAAAATCCGAGCAAAAATCATTCACTATTTGTCGCGAAAATCCGCGATTTGTTGAGGGAGATTTGGCAACGCCTGAAGGCTTAAACGGCGATCTTCTTCAGCACGGCAGCGGCTAATCTTGCATTTTAATGCATAGCCACCGCCACCTACGGTTCCTGAAAGCTCCTCGGTTCCCCGTTCCCAGCTCCAAAATGATACTGCATTCGAGAACGAGGAAGTTGTGAGCTTATCGTCCATCGCTTTCCAAGGTTTCTTGACTCCGAATTTTGTTTTGTGTTTTCCGCCGCTCGCTACGCGTCAGGTTGCGTAGCTTTCCGGCGCCGGTTTCCCTTTGTTTCGGCACCGTTGAACGTTGATTTTTCGGAACGGTTCTTTATACGTGAGGAATTCCTATTGTTGTCGTGTGTCGCGCCGTCAGGTCGTTCGACTGTTTTCATTTGCGGTGTAGGTATGTGTCGTTATATCAGAGCTTTCCCATCTCGCCTGAAGTTGTATTTATTACCTTAAGTAGGTATGTACAGGTTGATCCAAGAGTTCCCCACCACCCTTGTAATCCCCAGGATTCCTAGATTCTTGCCCCTTTTCAGGTTAATCGCTTCAAAATTTTCCTAAAGTTCCAGAAATGAGATTTACTTGACCCAGGAGCCCTCAAAAAATGTCAAGTCTCTATCTCAATTCGTACTCTCCCTGGCGAAGGAACGTAACTTCATTCCTGGGTTGCAAAATTGATTCGAATAATTTGCTATTTTTCAAGAATGTGTTTGCCATTTTTGTTCAAAACATTTCTGATTTTTACACAAGATCCGGAAAAGAATCGGTAAAATGTTTAGTTGGAAATGCTTAAGATGCTCCTGATAAAAAAGCGATTTTACGAAAAAAAAAATTTGGCAACATTGGAGTTTAGTTACACTATTTCGTCAGGGGAACGACAAATTGGTTCAAAAGTTGTGTCTTGCCGTTATTCAGCCCATTGCGTATCTATTGCAACCACCCGAATTCACCAACAGGACAGGTCCATTTTCCCTTTGTCCTGTTTGTCTAAAGCTTTGTCTATCAGTTCCCATTACGTATCTATTGCAACCACCCGAATTCGCCAACAGGATAGGTCCATTTTCTCTTTGTCCTGTTTGTCTATAGCTTTGTCTATCAGCTCCCATTACGTATCTACAGTAGACTCTGGATTATCCGGCTTCGTATTATCCGGACTCTGGATTATCCAGATCAATTTTGCAACCATGTAACTACGTACGCATTCCGATAAGTGAGCGGATCCGCGGAGAAGCGGTCGCAAGGGGCATACTGGCGCCTGCAAGGCTGAAGGAATACTTCACGCATTGTGCCAAACAGTGAGGTCGGCGTGGAACGCATTAGCGCCTACTAGATTGCATAAATACTTCTCGCATCACGCCAAACGCAGTGCAGTCAGTTAGTTGGCCTAAAACGCACATTAGCGGCTACAAGACTGCATGAATACTTCACGCATTGCGCGCTTTAATCGTTGTATTGTAATTTATCGTTGTCGGCTACCATTCACAATCACCATTGAGTCGTTCAGTTTGGCGTTAACCTTTTAAATTCGTGTTGGTATGTACATGATATATACATAATAAGAATACTGTGGTGTTGGTTGGTGGTGTTTGTGTTTACTATTATTATCCGGATTTCTTTTTCATCCGGATCGGGCCCGGCACATTAATCCGGATAATCCAGAGTCTACTGTATTGCAACCAACCGAATTCGCCATCAGGATAGGTCCATTTTCTCTTTGTTGTTTGTCTATCGCTTTGTCTATCAATTCCAATAATGAGCCCGCTGACATTCAACCCAAGCTGGAAAATAATAACACTAAGCGACGAAAATTTCGCGAGTGGTATCCTGGGAATAGGAAGGGGGGGGCGGAGAGGAGCGTATCACAAGGAGCCGACAATCTGTCAGGAACGTAATCAAATCATCGGCCCTCGAGGCGGAGTGATAAAGCACTTTAGACAAGAGTAAAGCGTTCTGCGAAGAGATAAGTAGGTTAACAAGCCACAACAACGAGAAGCTGTGAATATTTCTCTTCCTGTCCCCGACTCCGGCTCGGATGTCTTAAGTGTTCGGCGGGAGGGCGGGGGCGGGGCAATCGAATCGCGTCGCAGTCGCACTTTTAGCCCACCGTGATGTCATGAGCTCATGACTCGCCGCCGTTCTCCAAAGTCGTAACCGGCCAAAGCCGCGGTCCCCCAGGGCACGGGCAGCGAAATTAACGCCAAGTCAACTGCCCCAACGAAAGAGTTAAAGATATGATGTAAAGTTTCCAATTCAGAGGCGTATCCAGCAATTTGGCAACACTGGATCCCCCTCCTCCCCTCATTTAAACCAATGTTAAATAATCGATTCTGTCGGAGCACCTGGTCCCTCCAAGAATCGATGCATTCCCATAGGTTTAAATGGAGAAAAACAACGTTGCCAATGGAGATGTTGGATATGTGAGGAATTTGCGAACTGACTTTTGATTTTCATGTAAAAGTTCGCGAGAAACACGATGTTGCCACTGGTTTTCTCTGAAATTAACTTCCAAGCTTAAAAAAAGCACAAAATGGCCAAAATGGAGGGGATATCCCACGCTATCCTGAGAGTCCACTTCTACATCAAGACGAACTCTCCATGCAAAGATAGGGAGCAAATACATTAGCAGTCATGCCGTGTTTTCAGTTTTAGAGGCCCCAAATAAAGTGGCAGCCCTGTCAATGTATTTGCTCCCTATCTTTGCATGGAGAGTTTGTTTTGATGTGGAGGTGGCCTCTCAGGATAGCGTAGGATATCCTCTCCATTTTGGCCTCAACTTGAGAGCTTTTTTTGAGCTTGGGAGTTGATTTCAGGGAAAACCAGTGGCACCATCGTGTTTCTCGCGAAGTTTTACACAAGAATCCATAGTCAAATCGCAAATTCCTCACACATGCAACATCTTCATCGCTCGTGCTTCGTCGCGCGGCTGACTGGGCGTCGCGCACTGTCTGTGGAAGCGTGGCTTGATAACCGGACAAGTCATCAACCGATCCGCGGCGCGGTGCAACGCGACGGATCGGTCGTCGAAGCCCCGTTGTCAGATTCATGTCCGAGGCCTGATTTCTATGGAGTAATTGGATAGCGCCCGACGAATTGGCAACCGAGCTCCTGGTGGCTAAGGGATCGGATCGCCGGGGATCGAGATTCAAGAGTGGTGGTAGCCACCGCTGCGTAGTTTCACGACCGAGTCGTCATCGAAAATTTTACGATTTTTGAGTGCACGCTGCTGAAAACCGAAGTTTCAGACGTGAAGAGACCTTTTTTCGAAATTTTTTCAGTCACCGAGGTGAAAGTCGCCATGCCCCGGACCGTAGCCCCCCCCCCCCCCAAGAAGTACATCGGTTCAAAAATGCCATCGGAGAGAGAAGTACTTATGACCCGTAGAACACGCTCCTGCAGTCGGGCGGTTTATCCTTGAATGACCCTGTATTACACGAGATTTAAAGTCTAAATTATCGACTTTGAGGTGCTCTCAAGTACAACCACTCTTTTCAACGCTGATTTACTTACTTGCGCTGCAATTACTAGTGGCAATCGCCTAATCATGCTACCGCTTGCGTTGACCGCGTGCGATCGTAAGTGCACCGAACTGACTTGAGATACTTTCGACACATTTATCGGGAATCGTAAACTTGAGAGCTTCTCAAGTAACGTGTAAGATATACCTGCCTTGGTGGCCGTATCCTCATTAAGTTTCAATTAACTCACCGTGCTGCCGATCTGACAAATTTACCGAGTTTTCTTACCGGACCCCTTTATATGAAGAGCAAACAATGTTCGTAAGGAAATAAATCTCGTGAATTGATACACATCGGAGGAATTTACGTCACCACGAAAAGGGTTGTAAGTTAGTTGGGAGTGTGGGGTGTTTCTCCATTCCGTTACGGAGAAATCAAGCCCAATCTGCTATGGATTTCAGTATTTCCGGCGGAACTGAAAATTATTTTTCCGAAGAATTGTTCTTAAGTTT